TCGAATGTTGCTCCTTCACAGTCGAATCTTGGAGGCATTAGAGTTGATTCTTTATGTCTAGAGTCGACTCTAACCTGCAGCAACCTCTCTGAAATTTGAGAGTCGAATGTTGATCTTATATAGTCGACTCTTGGAGGATTTAGAGTCGACTCTTTATTCATAAAGTCGACTCTAACCTGCAGCAGGATGCTCAAACCTCTCTGGAATTTGGGAGTCGAATGTTGATCCTATATAGTCGACTCTTGAAGGGTTTAGAGTCGACTCTAACCTGCAGCAGGATGCTCGAACCTCTCTAGAATTTGGGAGTCGAATGTTGATCCTACATAGTCAACTTTTGGAGGATTTAGAGTCGACTCTTCATTCATAGAGTCGACTCTAACATGCAGTAGGATTCTCGAACCTCTCTGGAATTTGAGAGTCGAATGTTGCTTTTATATAGTCGACTCTTGGAAGAGTTAAAGTCAACTCTTTATGTACAGAGTCGACTCTAACTTGCAGCACATGCTTGATGGAATTTGGGAGTCCAATGTTGCTCTTATACAATCGACTCTTGGAGGGTTGATAGTCGATTCTTGATGTATATAGTCAACTCTAACATGCCTGAAATGCTCGAACCTCTCTAACATGCCCCAACTTTTGTACTTGTTCTTACTACACTTTGATTTTACCATATCACATTACATACAATGTCATTTATCATGTCACATATTTTCAATTCATCGCATTATTATAAATATGTACCACTTATATAATTTTCTCATCTCATAATCATAAATTAAAAGATAAGTATATAAGTACCACTTGCAACATTTAACATGACCATTTACATATTCTAAACTTGCAAGTCATAATAATACAGTTAATATTACCACAAACCATTCAATTCCAACTGACATATACACCTATGTCCTAACAAGTTCAAATCACAAACCCAGAAACTAGAAGTATTTTCCTCAAGTATCAAGAACATGCCAAATTTTGCGTTCACAACCTCATGCACACTGATCATTTCAGCCCAAATGGATCTTGGTAATCTGCATCAAATCTTGGCTGGTAACCATAATCATCTTATAGGGGATTGGCTGAAGATGCACCTGGAGATCCTGATTGTCTCCCCATTTGGCCCATGGGGAATGCAAGTTCTATTAGCATTTGCATTGGCATTGCATGAGGAAATGATGGCCCACTAGCATGAAACGATGGCCCAACAGTAAGGAATGATGTCCCTACAAGAGGAAATGCTTGCCCAGTGTAAGGCAATGATGGGGTAGCACTAGGCGAGCGCATCCCATAGGCACTAAAAGCAGCAAATTGCTGCGATAGAGATGCCTACATCCTCCCCATGTCTTCCAGCATCCGTTGCATTGCTTCTCGTTGCACTTTGACTTGCCCTATTTCGTCTCGCATCATTTGCATTGCCTCCCTATCAGATATCATTAGGCTCACATATGAAGTCTCCGTTGGTTGTCGTTTTCTGTATGTAAACCCAAGTTCCTCTGGGTTTACCTGTGAACCAATTCCTGGCATGAAATTGCTGTGGCATCCCTCAACAGCAGTTGCCCAAGCGTCATTGTCCCGAGGTGGCCATAATGCTGAGCCCGAGCCATATGTAGTAGAGCACTCACTGACATATGTATCCTATAAAAGTAATGCAAGAAAAACTACAACATATAACTGCAAAATTTTTAAATGTTGTATACACATAACAATGCTGAAAATGTAATCATTATTATTTACGAACAAGTGATAACAAAGTAGCAATCATCGAGAGACAATCAATACCCAAACAAAATTGTTTCATTAACACCTACACATACTAATACTTACTTATGCAAAATTTTTGTTATAATAATCAATCTCAGCATCATTAGTTTTGGTTGTTCCTTTCACACATACACCACAGTTATATGTTTGTCTTTCATTACTAGCTTTTTGGGTTATAAATCTAAAACCATAGACATAATAACCTCTGTACACATTCACTGTCCATGATGGGTCAAGTGCAAGGTATTGCAAAACCTCATTCCCTTCATGATAGTCATTTAACACCTACCAAATTTATATGTTCGTGTTATTAGTCAAATTTATAATATTTTCATTAAAAACTCAATTAATTAATATATTGTATATGACTATATATGTATAGGTATATAATAAAATTTGAAACAACATGACACGATGAAAAATATTGTTTACCTTATCTTTGAACCACATAACAAAACTTCTGGTGTGTGCTTCATGTGGAGTAAAAGGGGTCATATATACACCAACTTCTCGATCAAAGATGCTGAAATATGGAAACAATTATGTGTGACCAAAAAATGGAATTTTGAACTTTCCTACTATGATTCAGCAAGCTTACTCTAAAAATTTAATAAAAAGGAGTTTAGTTTGTCATATTTTACCTAAGAAGTGCATCAACTTCCCTACAGTTTAGTAGGACATAAAGTTCAGCTGCCTTCATCTCTTGAGTGGTTAGACAGCGTGTCTGTGAATGTGAACCCATTGGATGACCAGGGCACGCAAATATCGAGAATTCTGTGTTCCTATAAAATGGAACTGCTGCAAAGTTCCTTGGGGGCTTACTCCAACTTGTTTCAAGATCCGCACCAAAATATCGTGAGCAAAATCCTGTTATTTCATTGAGAATGCATGCTTCGACAATAAACACATCAACATGATTCTTGTTCCCTATTGTTTGTTTAAGTTTGTGCATTTGTCTGTAAAATTTGAAATTAGATATGAGCATAACAAATTATTATAGATTCTGTTATACTTGAAACTAGTGCATGAAACTAGTGCATGAAACTAGTGCATGAAACTATTGCATGAAACTAGTGCAAACTTATTTCCATTACCGTTCAAATGGGTACATCCATCGAAATTGTACTGGCTCACCAATTTGCGCCTCGAAAGGAAGACGGATTGCTAGGTGCTTCATACAATCAAAAAATGACAACAAAAAGATTCTTTCTAACTTACATATTATTTCAACTATCTTCGTTTCCCAAACTGCCATGTCTTTTATGTTGACATTTGGGGAACATAGTGCACAGAAGAAATTACTTACTTCTATTAATGGACTCCATATAAAATCCGATAACAAGCCACAGAAAGCAATTGGAATGAGGCGCTGCATGAATATGTGGCAATCGTAACTCTTCAATCCAACTAAGCGTAGCTCAGCTAAGTTCACACAACGTGTGATGTTAAATGCAAACCCATCTGGAAATCGCACATTTTTTAGCCATGTACATAGACATCTTTTTTTATTTGTGTCAAATGCATAACTTGCATTTGGCTTGCAAAGCGACCCAGAACTGTCATAGTACAAGTATAGTTCTTCCCTATCACAGTACAATGGTAAGTCCATTCTTGACTTAACATTGTCTTTTGAGGACGAGTCATTCATGACTGTATGATGTTGTCAAAAAAATTCTTTTCACAGTGCATGACATTAATATTGTGTCTGATCAGGTTATCCCCCCAGTATGAGAGTTCCCAGAAGATACTCCGTTAGACCCAATTGTGTGTTTCACCGAACCCGGGAATAGTTTGGTTCACTGATGAATTTCCAAATAAAACATCAGGTAGTGCAACAACTCGAAGTTGAACGGAATGACCATCTAATCGTGAAGGAAGGGGGACAAATTCTAGGTGGCCCTTAAGGAATTGAGATGCATCCATTCTGTATGAGTGTGATGCAAGAAGAAACTGTCGATGACAGTCAAAGAAACAGATCTTGTGACCATACTGCAAGTAAAAAGCACGAGTCATTTCCATGCAATATGGACAAGACAGACGACCATGCGTGCTCCATCCAGAAACCATACCATAGCCGAGGAAATCTGTTATGGTCCACATAAGCATGACTCGCATTGTGAAGTTCTATTTACGGAAGCTATCAAATGTTTCTACCCTCGATGACCATAACCGTTTCAGCTCATCAATAAGTGGACAAAGGAAAACATCAATGTTTTTTCCTAGACTTTTTGGTCCAGAAATAACAAGTGTAAGGAATGTAAACTCAGGTCACATGCACATCTCAGGAGGAAGATTGTAAACAACAATGAAAACAGGCCAACAAGAATATGACCTCGAAGAATGACCCCATGGGTTAAACCCATCTATTGCAAGACCAAGACGGACATTTCACTAATCGGATGCAAATAAAGGATGAACGGCATCAAAGTGCTTCCAAGCAGTAGACTGAGCAGGATGAATGAGGATCTCCGAGTCAACACGACATTTAAGGTGCCATATCATATGCTCAGCAGTTTTACGAGACATGTACAGCCTTTGTAGGCGTGGAATAATGGGTAGATACCACAAAGAATTCCTAGGCCTACCCTTTTTTTGAGTTTGAACCGAGTTGCATTTTTTATACCTAGGTTCACCACAAACTGGATAAGCAGTAAGTGACTTTGCCTCATCACCATAATACAGAAAGCAGTTATTGACACATGCATCAATTTTTACATAACCTAAACCTAAGTTTTTCATGAATTTTTTTGCTTCATAAAAATTTGACGGTACTTTTTGCTGATCTTCTAAACTTAACAATTGCCTACAGCCTTGAATGATGTCATTGTAACCAACACCAGTTATGTTGTTTTTGGCTTTGCAATGCAGCATATATGATAACCATCCAAGCAATGTTTGATTATTAGATGATGGTCCAAGTGGGATGGTTGAAGCACGCAACAAGTCATAAAAAGATTGTGCATGTCTATTTGGCGCATCCCCAACATTTTCAGATGCTAACTCTGTTTCATTTCTAGGGCGATCGTTTTCAGATGGACAGAATGCATCATAAACCATGTGATGGATATCATCCTCAGCATTAACATGTTGC